TCCCCACCAGTGCACCGCCGCCAACCCCCTCCCTTCCCCTTCGGTCCGGACAGAGAGCTGCCCCCCCCCCCCCCCCCCCCCCTCCTCCCCTCTCTCCCGTGTGTGCCCTGCCCGCTCGCTACTGCGCCAACAACGGCAGCCCACTCCCACTCCAATCCCTCCTCTCATCGCCTCACCCCTCACTGCTCTCCGACATGCGTCACCTCCTCCGCAAGCTGGCCTTCGCCTGTGGCAGCTTCCTCGGCCCGCTCTGCTGCAGGCTGGCCACGGCGGCAGTGGTCCTGGCCCTCGCCCTGGCCGCGGGGACTTACGTCCTTCAGCGCGGCCCGGCGCTGGTCTCGTATGCATCGGTGGAGCTGGCCCCGCCGCGGAACTCGACCGAGGTCATGGCCAATCTGACTGCAGTTGATGAGGTGCTGGTCGGCTCAATGGCGGTGGCGCTCAACCACTCGACCGCACCGGTAGTTCTCGTCGATGGACACGCACACACCACGGCGTCGGACGGCCGCATGTCACTGCACCAGCTGGCGGCATGGGAGGCCTCGCAGGGCTTTGATGCCTTTTTCGTCACCGATCACAACGTCTACGGTCCGGAGGCTGCGGAGATGGCATCGCGCTCGAGCGGCGTATTGCCGCTGGCGGGGCAAGAGTACACCACCTGCCGGGCGCACCTCAACATCTACGGTGTGGCCAAGCGGTACGAGCCGATCTCGCCGTTTCCCACCAACGACGAACTGAAGGAGCTCATTACCGACGTCCACGCTGCCGGCGGCCTGGTCTCGGTCAACCATCTACCGTGGTCGGCGTGGTCGATGCCGCTGGCCTCGCTCCCGAGCCGTGCCCAGTGGCACGCCTGGGGCGCAGACATGTTCGAGGTCGTCAACTCGGGCATCTTTGACTGGGAGACCTTTATATTTGCCCGCCGCGCAGGCATGGGTGTCATCGCCGGCACCGACGTTCACTCGCCGTACACTCGCGCTGCGTCGTGGACCGCCATCCGCCCGGCCAACCTCTCGGCGGCGGCCATTCTTGACGAGCTCCGCAGAGCGCGCACCAACATCCTGCTCGAGGCCGTCGCCTCGCCGCGCCACGGACTGTATCCGGTGGTTGCAGGCGAGTCATGGACGCGGGCCGGCATGGTCTGGTGGCTCTTCACCGCGCTCGGCGCCTTTGCCGAGAACTTCTACACCCTTGCCACCGGCCAGTACGACTTTGCCGGCGGCTTTTGCACGCCGACCGTCTTTCGCCTCCACACCACCCTCATCGGCTACGCCCTGCTGTGGATTGTGGGCCTTGCCGCCGCTCTTGAGCTTTGCTGCTGCGGCTGCGCCGCCGGGCGCTGCGCGAGGCCCTCGCCGCGCGAGCCGTATGCTCTCGCCTGCGGTGCGCCCGCCTCGTCGGCCCGCTGCCGCCTCGTTCCCCTGGCACTCTACACGTGCTCGTCTACCGCTGTAGCTCCTCGCCGACGCGCATCCACGTCGAGTGGAACGTATTCAGCCGCGAACTCGAGCTCGGGCTCGGGGGGCTCGGGCTCCTCGACGCTACACTCGTCGTCATCGCTCTCGGCGTCGGCCGACGCCGAGATGGGGCTCCTCTCGCGGAGCCGGCGGAGCTAGCCCAGTGAAAGACAAGTAGGTAGACAGGAACAGCGTTTGACGGAGCAAAGGGGAGAGGGGGTCTACTGGAGCGACGACTCGGGGAAAATGCCCTGCGAGACGTGGTAGGCGATCTGGGCGCGGACAAGCTCCTCGTTGATCTCGGGGACCTCGTAGGTGAAGCCGGTGCCCTCGATCTTGGAGCCGTCAATGCAGAGGTGGTTGTTGTACAGCAGCTCCTGGTCGAGGTACGGCGTGAGCGGAGTGTTCTCAATGCCGGCGGCCTTGCAGAGGTCAGACCACGGCTTGAGGTGCTTCTCGTTGACAGTCTCGGTGACACCCGAGAGGTTGACGCGAGCAAGATTACTCTTGATCTTGCCGGCAAACTTGGTGTCGATGCCAAAGATGGCCTCGAGAATCTCGTTGACCTTGCCCTGGTTGGTGTTCCCCTTGTCGGCGAGGTTGAAGACCTCGCCGGACTCGCCGTGCGAGGTGAGGTGCCAGAGCGCGCGGACAACGTCGTCGACATGCACCGTGTTGATCGCCAGATCCTTGGTCCACAGGAACTCCATCTTCTCGCCGAGCTGCTTGTACACCGCTCCGCAGATGATCCGCGGCGCAATGCCGGCCACGTCGCCGGGGCCGTACACAATCGCCGGCCGGACCACAACGTAGTTGAGCCCGTCGATGCCGGCGAGCGCCTCCTCGGCCTGCACCTTGTGCGTGGCAATGTTGGTCCACGGCTTGAGCTTCTCGTCCTCAGACTTGGTCTTCTTGTTGCCGTCGTACACCTGAGCCGTCGAGACCTCCACGAACCGCTCGACGCCGTGCTTGGCCGCAGCCGTCGCCACCTTGGTCGTCAGCTGGGCAATCTTCTCAGCGTACACCGTCTCCGGCTGCGAGTACTTGGTCTCGCCAGCAAGGTTGATGACAAACCGGAACGGCGTCTCCACACCATCCGTGAACGCCTTCTCGATCGAAGCTGTTACCCCGTCCGCGCCCACAACCGGTGTGAGTCCAAGCGCTTGCAATTTTCTTGCCGCCGTCACTCCACGGGGGAGCCAGCCGCGAGCGAAAAAATTCGCAGGTGGCGGCGACACGTCCCTGGCAAGCCCGACCGCCTTGCGGGGGATAGCCATGGGGGAGGGGAGGGGCAGTCAAGGGAGGGGTCAGGGGGGGGATAAACGGTATGTACAAGGGAGGGGGGGGGGAGGGGGGCAGGCAGGGGGGCGAGCGGGGCTAGCTGTGGCCGCAGGTGGCCAAAGTATGCGGAACAAGCAACCTACCGTCGTTGGTGAGGTTGGCCTGGCGGAACTCGACAATGGGAGAGGCAAAGGAGGCAGCGTGGGCCTCGTCCATGTACGCAGTCTGCGGGAGGACCTTGTCCGCCACGCGGATGTACGAGGCGAGGTCATTGACCACCAGGTGGTGGACAAAGTTGCGTCCGATGAATCCGGTTCCGCCCAGAACGAGCACAGAAGGCTTGGCAGTGTCGGCCATTGTGTTTCTTGTGAATGTCTCACGTGAGGTGCCGTCACCAATGGTGAAGCAAGCAAGCTCGGTCAACAGTCGGCCAGCCACGGCCACGGCGACCGACTCGGTCGAATGTCTAACGAACGAACGAACAAACGAAACGAAACGAAACGAGCGAACGAATCATCTGCCAGCTGCCAGCAACGATAACTGGTGGCAGCAATTAACGATAATCCGCTGGCAACGAAACCACCTGCGCCGCCACCGTCACACACCGCACACACCATACACAACAGAGCACACCAACACCTCCGATCCCACCACACCACATCGCGGCTCGCCATTGCTTCGATTGCAGTCTCTTGCACCGCGCTATCCCCTCTGATCCTTCCTCTTAATCCCACCCTCCTCCTCCTCACCCTTCCCTCTCCCCTCCCCCACACCCCCCCCATCCTCCGGCCACACCCTCTGCGACCGCTGGGATCGGCCTCACCTCCCGTTGACCCCTTCGGCGCGGTGGCACCCCCGGCGAAAGAGACAGAAGGCGGCAGCACTAGACTCTGGGCAGACATTATGGATTTTACTGACGTGACCCTGTGGGGCGGTGTGGTTGTGGCCGGCTCGGCTGTTGCTGCCTCCTTCCTCCTCCTCAAGCCCGACGAGCAGAGCCGTGGCCTGACGGCCGAGGAGATCGCGTCGGGTTCGCTCTCCCGGGGCCTCGCCGACGGGAAGGCGGGCAAGGGCAAGAAGGGCAAGGGCAAGAAGGGCAAGGGCAAGGCCGGCAAGAACTCGCACCAGGAGAAGAAGACCCAGAAGGCGGTGTCGACAAAGTCTGCTCCGGCCGCTGCAGCAGCTGCAAAGGCTGCCCCCGCCGACAGCAACAAGGCCTCGTCCGCAAACAAATCGCAAAAAATCTCCTCCAGCGACGCCGATGCCGCCGACGCAAGGGCCCAGGCTACAAAGGCCGCAAAGGCGAAGGCCGTAAAGGCCGCAAAGGCTGCAAAGGCTGCAAAGGCCGCAAAGGCTGAAAAGGCTGAAAAGGCCGAGGCCAAGCAGCCGTCGGGCGACATCGACCGGGATCTGATGCTACTCTCCAAGATCCAGGCCGCGACTGCTGTTCGGCCCAAGACCGGTGGCGGCGGCGGCAGCAAGAAGAACAAGGCCGCTCAGGCCAAGGCCAAGCCTGTGGTTCCGTCAGGTGCGGTCCAAGCCGTCACTCATATGCCCGAGCCGGAGCCGTCTCCGGCCAAGAAGGCCAAGGCCGCGGCCAAGGCTGCGGCCAAGACCGCGCCGGCCGCGGCTTCGCAGGAGGCTGCTGACCGTGCCTTTGCCGAGTCAGTTGCTCGCATGACCGACGCCGAGGAGTACGCCATGCTCAAGTCGCAGGTCGAGGAGGAGTCGTGGACCACCGCCGGCTCGTCGTCGCTCAGCAAGATGCGCAAGCGGGTCGCCCAGCTCGAGACCGAGCTCGCCGAGCGCGATGCCAACGTCTCCAAACTGACCAAGACGGTCAAGAAGCTCCGCGCCGAGGCCAACACCCATACCGCCGCCCTCCGCATCAGCGAGGAGGCGTCCGCCAAGACCATCGCTACCCTCGAGGCCGAGACCACCACGCTCCGTGCCTCGCTCAAGGACGCCCGCGAGGCCGCAAACCCGGGCGCGCTCGCCGAGCAGCTACTGGTCGAGCAGCAGCTCCGCTCTGAGCTCGCCGCCGCAAACTCGCAGCTTGAGCAGCTGCGCATGACCTTTGTCGACGCCCAGAAGGCCGCAGACGCCAAGGTCGCCTCGCTCCAGACCTCGGTCGACGAGAAGACCGCCCAGGTCGACCAGGCTTCCAAGCTCCTCACCATGCACAAGGAGATGCAAATGGAGTCGCGCAACAAGGTCGAGGAGCTCAAGGCCGCTGCCGCCGCCGCCCAGGACGAGCTGGCCAAGGTCAAGGCCGAGCTGGCCGAGTCGGCCGCTGCCCTCGAGGCTGCCCAGGCCGCCGCCGACGCCGCCGCCGCTGCCCCGGCCGCCGACCCGGCCGCCGACGAGGAGCTTGCCAAGGCCAAGTCGACCATCGCCAAGAAGGACGACTACATCGACAACCTCGAGAACGAGATCGCTCAGCTCGAGGAGAAGCTCTCCGACCGCGACGACGCCGTCAAGGCCGCTCAGGCCGTTGCCGATGACGCCAAGCGCCAGCTGGTCCTTGCCGAGAAGAACGCCAACGACCTCGCCTCCCGTGTCGAGGAGGCCACCAAGGCCAACGCCGAGTCGTACGCCACCATGTCTGAGCTCCAGGCCAAGCTCAAGGCTGCCGAGGCCGCCGCAGAGTCTGCCGCCGCTCCTCAGCCCGCTGCAGAGCCCGCCGCAGACAACGATGCCGACGCCGCCCGTGTCGCAGAGCTCGAGGAGGCCATCGCCGGCCTCACTGCCGAGCGCGACGCCGCCGTCGCAGACCTCGCCACCGTTGCCGCCGCCCGCGACGCCGCTGCCGCCGCAGAGGCCGACCTCGAGACCAAGCTCGCCGCCGCGGAGGCTGCTGCCACCGACGCTGCCGCCGCCGCCTCGGCCGACCTCGAGGCCGCCAACTCGCGCGTCGCCATCCTGGAGACTCAGCTCGCTGCTGCTTCGTCCGACGCCGACGCCACCGTCGCCGAGCTCAAGGCCCAGCTCGCCACCGCCAACGCCAGCATCGAGTCGCTCGAGGCCGCCGCTGCCGCCGCCCCGCCCTCGCTCGACGTCGGCGACGTCGACCAGGAAGGCATCGCCCTCGACGCAGAGTCGCGCGCAAAGCTCGTCAAGGCCGTTCGCTTTGCCGAGTCTACCATCGCAGAGCTCCGCATCCAGTACGCAAAGGCCCTGCTCGAGCAGCAGTCGGTCTTTGACGCCGACAAGGCTGAGCTGGAGGCCAAGCTCGCCGCCGCCCAGTCGTCGTAAATCACACACCCCGCTCTGCTCCTCTCTCGCTAGCTCTTTACCGCGACACAGCGTTCTGGAAACTCCGCAGCCGTTGCGCCGCCTCTAGCAGCGGCGCGATGTGCATCTCGTGCTCGCTGTTCACGCTCCCCGACGCGCCCGCCAGCAGATGCGAGGCCGATTCGAGGAGCTCAATCGTCTGCCCCACAGGCTGTCGCGCCAGCGCCTCGCGACTCTTCGCAGAGCCCGGCGCCCACGGCTCGAGCTCCGCTACTGTCTCGGGCGAGATCGTGGTCAGCGCCTCCGCGTACCCTGCCCGCGAGCTCACTTTGAGCTGGGCCAGGATGGCCGCGAGCCGCTTTCGTGCCACAGACACAAGCAGTGCCCCCATCGTCGTGCTGTCACGGACCTGCGCCACAACTTCAGCGCCGCGCACGTCATCGCCTTGCTCATACAGCCGCACCGCGTACGCCCGCCGCACCGCGTCTAGCTCCAGCCCAAACGCGCCTGCAAGCTGCATGGCCACCTCAGTCGCCCGCACAACAGACCGCGACACAAACCACATCCGGTCCTTGTCCATCGGCCCGTAGCTTTTCCCGCGGCTCAGCTCCCAGCTGACTCCGGCGCTGCTAAGGCCTGCCGAGCCGCGGAGCGCCGTAAAGAACCTCTCTCCCTGCTCCGGAGCAAAGAGACTCAGCGGCTTGATGGCCGACATGCGCCCGTCAATCACAAGGTGCAGCACCTGGCTCAGCACCAGATGACAGCGAACACACGCAGCAAGCGAGTCATCGTCTGCCGCGCCTGCTGCGGCAGCAACTCGCGCCCACGTCTCCACATGTGCCGCAGGCACATGCCTCTCGCTGGCAGCACAACGGCCTCCGGTATCGGCCTCGAGCGCTTCCGTGAGGGTTGAGAACAGCTGGACGAGGCTCGAACCAAACAGCGGCACCGCCTCGGGTGCCATGCTCAGCGCCGCTGCTAGCACCCGCATCTTGGGTGCCTTGCCCGCGCCCTGGATCGTGTCAAGCATCGCCCGCGCCCGGTCGGCCATGCACTCGTCGTAGAGTGCAAGGAGGCCAAAGACTCGCTGGCGCGCAGAGCTGGCGCCCTCGCGCAAGTGCGCCAGCGCTTGCACCAACCACTCCATACGACCGGTTCCGGTCGACGCCAACCACGCCCGGCCTAACGCCAGCGCACGGTACACCGGGAGCCACGAGGGTTGGAGCCCGAGCCCGGGCGTGTACGCCACCGTAGCAAGCACCGCCGTCATGCTCGCCAGTCGCTCATCCTGAAACAGTGTAGTGTTGCCCGCCAGTCCGGCCCCGGATTCGTTTCCGCTCACTGCGTCGGCCACCATGTTGTCGAGCGAGCCTGCTACCTTACTCGACTGTGAGTACATGAGCATTCGCAGCGCGAGCAGCCCGTGGATGTTGGTGCTCTGCTCACCGCTCAGCGCAGAGAGGGAGAGCTCGCCGAGCGTGTCCTCCGCGCCGAGCGCATCCCAGAACTCTGACGCCGACGTTGCCGAGCGCGGTGGTTCCAGCGCAAGCATCGACCGCCACAGGTGCCACACACACCGCAGCAGCTCGCGATCGCGGGCAATCGTCTCGCGTGCGCCCTCGCCCACATCGTCGCCCGCCGCCTCGCCGCCTTGGGCGTCGTCGCCCTCGTCTCGGGCCGACATCACCGCCTCCACAAGAACCAGCACATGTCCGAGCAGCTGGCACTCGTGAATGCGCCCGTGAAGAACAGCAAGAAACGCGGCACGCCGCGCCGGATCGCTCGCGTACGCGCCTGCCACTACATGCCACGCAGCCGTCATGACCGACCGGCCTACCGCCATTCGCAGCGGTAAACTGGTCCAGAACGTGACCAGCAGCACGCCAAAGGCTTCGGGCGCCAGCGACCGTGATGCGAGCTTGCTCACTGCCCTAGCTCCACCTGGCTGCGCCACCACCAGCCCAAACGTGAGCCAGGAGAGTGCCACCAGCTGCGCCCGGGAGCTTTCCTCGTGTGCGTCGGCGGTGAGTTCAAACACCGCCGGCACATCCTCAGACACTTCGTCGCGTGCAACAGGCCGCAGCAGCGCGAGCGCAGCATCAAGCATAGCGTCCGGATCGTGGAGCTCGAGCTCGAGCGACGCCGAGGCAATCGAAGGCGGCCACTCGGGCGTGTCAACCGCCAGCGGCTCCGCGTGACGGCTGGCCAGCGAGACCGGCGGTGGCGGCAGCGTGTCGACCGCGGCGGCGGCAAAGGCCACCAGACCGTCGCAAAGCGGGACCTGCCCGTGGGCCTCCCGCCGTTCTGGAGTCCAGAACTCGTCGTACATGGCCGCTGCCCGCGACGAGTGCGGGAGCACGAACTTGGACCTCGCAGCAAGCAAGGCATCAGTGGGCGCGAGCGAAAAGAACGCCGGCGACGTGCGCGCCTCTGCTCCCCACAACCGGAGCCAAGCATCGAAAAAGGCAAGCATATGCGACCGGCCTACTAACCGCCTGAAGAGCGGCTGGCTCACATAGGCTGCTGCCGTCTCTGCATCGCGGGCGCCGTCTGCCCGGAGACCATCCGCACGCAGGTTGCCCAGCAGCGTGGCGAGGAGCTTGATCTGGACACCCGGAGGGAGCGCATGGAGCATGGCGTCGACAATGCGGTCAACGTACGCCGGCGTATTGACATGCTGCAACAGCTGCACGAGTTCGTGCTTGGTCGCCTCGAGCGACGGGTGCGGGAGCCGGCCGAGATCCGGCCGGGTCCGTGGCCCAGCAAGAGCCGAAAGAAAGGCCGAGACGTAGTGTTTCTCCTTTCGGGTTGATGCCACGACTTCCGACTCTTCCGAGAGCGCGAGGCAGACCTCATCGCGCTTGCCAGACGGGTCAATGAGCCAGAGTGGGGCCGGCGCGAATGGCGCCGACGGTGCCTGAACCAGCACGCCGTTGGAGGCCACCTTGCGGGCGACAAGCCGCTCGCCGTGACGCATCCGCCAAATCTCGAGCAGGCCACGCTTCGGTGCGTAGATGACAAGCGCAAGAACCCGCGAGCTCTCGGGCTGTAGCCAACCAAGTTGCGCATCGCGATAGCCCTTCCATATCCGAACAATGGTCAGGTTTGAGGTATCAAGCAGAAGAACTCGGCCAAAACCATCAGCGAGAGCCGCAATGGCCCCGCGCGGCGCAGGCACGATCAGACACACCCGTCGCTCGGCATCGGCAATGTATGCGAGCTGCGGCAGCTTGGCCGGCTTGGCGCGCGCGGCGTCGGCAGCTGTGCTTGAGCGCACGCCGGGACGCGCCAGCGGTGCCACAGCACTCGGGCCGGGCTCTGCGCCGCCAGGCACTACGTTGCGCGAGAACCACGACTTGGCCATCGAAAAGATGGCGGTGGTAACCTTGGACGCCACATCAGACGCGTAGGCAATAGTCTCGGAGAGCATCGAGGCGCGGGCGTCGAGCTCGTAGGCTGCAATCATCGGGCCGGAGCCAACGGCAACAAGCCGCGTCGTCCACGGCAGGCCAAACCTGTTCCCGGCAGCAGCGCCAGCGTGGCGGGCCGAGTCCAGAAGCGGTGGGAACCGGCCGCACATGGCCAGGTCGGCGACCTCGACATGCTTGCCAAACTTGAGCCATTGGTCGTACATCGACTGGAATGGCGGAGAGCCGTGTGGGAGGCCGAGCCAGTGAGTCAACGCGTCGTGCATCGAGGCCCGGAGGACGACAAAGCCGGTACGCCGGGCATGGAGCACGAGAAAGGCAAGCTCGTCGCCAGCCTTTTCGGAACCTCCGGGTGCGTCGCCGGCAGGCGGAAGCGATCCAAAGCCGGTCGGGACAACGCAGATCTTGACCACAGGCGATGCGGCGTCCTTGTGCGGCGGAATCGAGAGCGCTAGGACCCACGGCGAGAGCGCATTGTTCGGCTCTGGAACGAGGACGTGGACGGCACCGGCAGCGTCGCCGAGCAGGGCAACTAACTGCAGGGCCGGAAAGGCTGGGAGTCTAAGGAAGGCCAGAGCAGTGGGCACACTCTCCAAGTCTGGTGTCCATGAGACCGGGCATGTGGCGCCCATGTCTGATGTCGTGAGGGTGAGGGTGATGGCGTCGGCAGCAGGGTCGTGGGTCGCCGAGAGGCACAGGCTCCCGTCGGGCGCCGCCGCCACCAGCGCCCCGTCGGTCCCTCCGTGGGCCACCGGGGGCAGCGGAATGAGCTCCAGAGCCATGGGCGGAGGGATAGAGGTGTGTGGGTGGGGGGGGGGGAGTTGTATTGGCTCTAGCGAGAAGAGGAGGAAGCACCACTGTCGTCGCTCACATCACCGCCAACGTTACCGACACGAACGCCGCCACCATCACCGTCATCATCGCCGCCGCCACCATCATCACCACCATCATCGACGCCGCCATCACCGCCATCGCTGTCTAGAGTAGACAGAAGCGACATGGCCGAAGCATCCAGCGAGGTGAGGACGTCGTCCGGGACAGGAATGGCGTCGATGAGCCAGCTGTCGATAATGTCCGAGCAGGCGGTGAGCTGCTCCCGGAGCATGACGTGGAGCGGGCGGAGATCCATGGTGATGACCAGGTCATGGACGGCGAGCGCCTGCTCGAGAAGTGAGCGCTGGGTGACGAGCGCAATGTTAAAGTCGAGGGCCCATTGCGCAAACGCTGGGTGGCCGATGGCGCCGGCGCTTCGGATGGCCTCGCTGATCATGCCCGGCCCGGCCTGGATGTAGACCGAGACGAGGCTGGAGATAACGTGCGAGAGGCGGTGCGACACAGCAGTGTCTTCCATTGGCGCCACGTGGCCCTGCAGCATGGCCGCAATACCATCGGGCCGGACGCATCGACTATCTGGGTGGTACCAGTTGATGCAGACCTGCAACTCGGCATTGCGCTTCCGCATGGCGGCAAGCATGGTGTCGATGGCGTCGATGAGCTCGGCAGAGGCCGACGCGACTTGCCGCTCCAGCGCGGCCGAAGTCTCGGCCGGGAACGGCGCGGCAACTGCAAAGTGCTCGCGGACAACGACAGTCGAGTTCGATTCGGGCACCGCCACCGGCGGCTCGCCCCAGGCAGTCACCGGCGCGATGGCGGGCGGGAGCGCGTCGAGCGGCATGCTTGTTGTCCGCTCAAAGCGCGAGAATGCGGCCTGGGCAAAGATCATCATGTCGCGCGAGTAGATGGTGCCAATCGCCGAGTGGGCAGCGGCATGGGCGAGCTCGTCGAGCGGCGGAATGATGGGCGAGACACGAGCGACATGCAGCGAGCGGGCTCCCGTAGCGGCATCAGCACTCGACGGCCCGTCGGCGTGGCTGACGAGCGCGGCATGAGCCAGCCGCGCGACACGAGCGTTAGCATTGGCCGCGGCCAGCGCAGCCACAACCTCGTCCAACGAGGCCATGGGCGATCGACGCAGAATGCGGGCGGTGGAGTCGGGCAAGGCAACGACCGCCCAGAACGACGACGCCGACCAGGAGAGCTGACGGAGGCGATGTAGGACGGAGCCCAAGTTTGCCACGTAGATGTCACGCCAGAAGAACGGATTGTGTCGCGGCGAGTGGGCCGTGTCCAGCTGCTTTGTCTTGTCCTCAAAAACAGCCAGTACCAGCCTGCGCCACAGCATGTTGTCGCCAGCAGCCACTCTCCAGCGACGGCTCACCTGGCCCGCCCTTGCCAGGTCCGAGGCACCCAAGCACATCAGCACCCCCTGTAGCACCTCTGCAGGCAAGTCATCCACCCACAGCTCCACCTCTTGCTCCGTGGTGGCGACCTCTCCCGCTGTCGCAGCCATTCCGAGTCGAGTGCGTGTCCGCTCCATACCCGCGGGGGGGGGGGAGGGGGGAGGGGGGGGAGGGTGATCGGGCGGGGGCGAGTCAGCCACACACACACTCGGACACACACCACCGCCACACACCGCGGCACACGGGGCACAACCACCGCTCGCACACGTACAACCACCGCACGCTCACACCGCACACACACACGCGCGCGCACACACAGTGGAGACAACGCCGTCGCGTGACTTTGACTCGCATCTCATCACCACTCAGGAGCAGCAAGAGCTGCAGCACAGACACCATGCTGGCCGCTGGCGAGGAGGGCGGGCAGGGGAGCAAGGGCAAGGGCGGGGCAGAGTTGGAGCTGGACTTTCTGGACGATGACGAGGCTGGGGGGCTGGAGGGTGGCCTTGGTATGCAAGGTGGGCAGCGAGCTGGTGAGGCAGCAGGCGGCCGGCAAAACGAGGCGGCAGTGGCGGTGGGCGGCATGATGTCGGCGCCGACGCAGTTCCTCACCGATCGCGGCTACGGGTGGCTGCTCGAGGTGGACGAGTCTGCCGAGGCCGAGGGCGAAGGCTTGTCGCTGCTGGAGGAACTGGACATTGACGTGTGGGACATTGCATATAAGATCCGGTGCGTGGTGCTCCCTTTCCGGTTCGACAAGTCCATCATCCTGACTCAGACCGACTTCTGGGGCCCGTTCTTTGTGGTTCTCGCCTACGCCCTGCTCTCGTTGTGGGGCAATATGGCGGTGCTCTCGTGGATCCTGACCATCTGGGCTGTTGGCTCGGGCCTCATCTTTCTGATTGCCCGCAGCCTCGGTGGCAACGTGAGCTATGGGCAGGTCCTGGGCGTGGTCGGCTACTCGCTCATTCCGCTCATCGTCATGGTCGCTGCTGAGCCGCTGCTGCATGCGGCCGGGGGCGAGTCGGCGTTTGTTCTCGGGCGGGCCTTTGCGGTGGTGTGGGCGGCGTACTCGGCCGGCTCGCTGCTGGTGACCGAAGAGCTGATGCGCCGCCGCTTCCTCGTCATGTACCCGATCTTTCTGTTGTACGTCTATTTCGTCTCGCTGCACTCGGGTGCATAGTCGTTGCCGACTCGATAAAGAAAGGACAGAAGAAAGGTGAGAATAGAGCAGGTTTACTTACTCGGCACCGTCGGCAGCGACGGCAATGGCGTCGGCGGTCGAGCCGGCCTCGACGTCGTCGTTGGCGCCGTCGGCGAGCGGCTTGAGCTCGGCGGTCTGAGAGAGGCCAGCGAGAATCTCGTCCTCCAGAAAATGGGTCTCGCCGACGACAACGAGCGAGTGCAGCGGCGGGCCAAAGTCGAGCGGGAGGAGCTCGGCGATGGAGCCGGCGGCGATGACCTGGGTCTCCTGGCCGACGCGGGCGAGGGCGACGACCTGGGTATCGGCGGTGAGGATGCCCTCGCCGTACTTCTCCTCGACCTCGAGGAACTGCGAGAGGCACTGATTGACGGTCATGAACCGCGGCGGGTCGTAGATCATGCGGCCCTTGGCGAGGTTCTCGTCGGAGATCTCCTTCATCTTGATGTCGAGGAGGCAGAGGGTGTGCAGGCCGGCGGCGGCGTTGATCTTGACCTTGTTGTAGAACGAGTCCGGGCGCCAGGTCTCGGTGAAGAAGACGACCGAAACGGTGAGGCCAAAGTTGTACAGCTGCAGGCCGCACGCGCCGGCGGCGTTCATGATGGACGCGTTGTGGATGACCGAGACGGTGACGCCTGCGGCCCGGGCGCGGACGACGAGGTCGGTATGGGTGGTGGCGCCAAACGGATCGCCCACCACCAGGAACCCGATGTTCTCCTCCTTGGCCGGCTCGATGAGGGTATCATCCGCCCCGGACTCGACCAGCTCGCGGTCCGCCACAATAACCTCCACCCCGTAGAACGCCTCGAGCTCCTCCTTGGACGCTCCGAGCACGGACGTGTACGCCTCCAGATACACCCGCGCGCACGTCCGCACAGCCTCCAGGCCCTTGACCGTGATATCCTTGGCATCACCGAGCCCGAGTCCAATCATGTACAGCATCCTCAACCGCTTTAGTCTGGCTACTGCGAGGCGTGTCGTCTGCTCCCGCCCCTTGACCCCTCCCTCTCCTTCCCGCTGCTGGATGGCCCGCTGTCGCCGCCCGTCCGTTCGCCGCTCACTCGCCCTCGCCCTCCCCCCCCTCCCCCCCCCCACTCGCTCGCCACCCGCTCGGCCACTCGCCTCCATTGGGACATTCGCGTGACCGGGCCTGCCGAGCATGGACCCCGAGTTTGCCTGGATGCTGGAGGCTGAAGTGGTACGAGCTTCGAACGGGGGTGGAGTCGGTGGGTGGATGCAGGATGAGGAGTGGGTGGAAGTGGGGAGGGGGAAGAGGGGCTGGGAGGGGGGGGAGGGGGGGGGGGAGGGGGTGAGTGAGCGCCCGCGCCAAAACTTGAACTAACGAAACTACGACCTTTTTGGGGGCGCAGCCGACGTCGAGTCGCGCCAGGTCAGGCCAGGAGACGCACAAGCGCAGGCGTGAGCCGATGACAAGCACACCATCTCGTGCGAGCCATGCAGGGACCAACGACGCGCGGGGTGATCCCAAGCGGCGGAAAACCCTACATGGCCAGCCTGCGCTTGCACCGCAAGGACTCGAGTCTCAGCTCATCTTTGCTCTCGCTGCGTTTGAGACGGACCCACTCGCCCCGCCGCCGCCGCCGCCGCCGCCGCCGCCACCGGCGCCCGCCGCGAGCCCCGCACCTCCAAGCCTTGGTCTCGATTCTCACCTTCTTGCCGCGCTCGGGGCGATTGGCTCAGACCCACTCGCCTCGCAGTCGCAACCATCGCTGTCTGACGCTCAGAGACTCACCGCGGGCGAGCCGACGCCAAGCCGGGCGCAGGCTGGGCGAGCGCCGTCGACCACGCCAAAGGCCAGCCTTGAAACCGGCTGCTCGCCGTTCGACTCGTACCCGCGCGTCGCGAGCACGTCGCCGCAGCCTGGGCTGGGCCGCGCGAGAGGCGGAGGCCGTGGTGTGTCGATTACTGTGGACTACGACACGCCATCACGCCCTTCCCGTTCTTCCTCGACCACCAGGCCACCCCTGGTCAGTTGCCGACCGAGTCACCCGCCGCTCTCTATTGACGACATGATCGCAATGGAGGCCGCCGCCGCAGGCGACCCCAACCCCGACCCCAACCCACCTCCTCCCAGCCTCAACCCAGGCCCGCCGCCGCTCTCCATTGACGACATGATCGCAATGGAGGCCGCCGCCACAAGCGATCCCAATCCCGACCCCAACCCACCTCCTCCCAGCCTCAACCCAGGCCCGCCGCCGCTCTCCATTGACGACATGATCGCAATGGAGGCCGCCGCCGCAAGCGACTCCAATCCCGACCCCAACCCACCTCCTCCCAGCCTCAACCCAGGCCCGCCGCCGCTCTCCATTGACGACATGATCGCAATGGAGGCCGCCGCCGCAGGCGACCCCAACCCCGACCCCAGCCCACCTCCTCCCAGCCTCAACCCAGGCCCGCCGCCGCTTTCCATTGACGACATGATCGCAATGGAGGCCGCCGCTTCAGGCGGCCCCAACCCCGACCCCAGCCCACCTCCTCCCAGCCTCAACCCAGGCCCGCCGCCGCTCTCCATTGACGACATGATCGCAATGGAGGCCGCCGCCGCAGGCGACCCCAACCCCGACCCCAGCCCACCTCCTCCCAGCCTCAACCCAGGCCCGCCGCCGCTCTCCATTGACGACATGATCGCACTCGAAGCCGCGGCGTCACTCCTCCAGCCTCCGCCGCCGCCGCCGCTGCCGCAATCACACCCTACCCGGTCGCCATCGTCCATCACGTTTGCCTCGCTCGGCCTCCCACCCGAGATTTGCGCGCGCTTCAAGGCCAAGGGCATCGCCGACATGTACCCGTGGCAGAAAGAAGCGCTGGCAACGCCAGGTGTGCTCGAGGGCCGCAACTTTGTGTACACCGCCCCGACGTCCGGCGGCAAGACCCTGGTCTCGGAGCTCCTAATGATGCGCGCGCTCGTGGCTGACCGCCGCAAGAAGGTCCTCTTTGTCCTCCCGTACATCTCGCTTGTCAAGGAAAAGGTACGACACCTCAAGCCGTTTCTCGCCCGCGCCGGCCTACGCATCGGCGGCTTTTTTGGCAACGAGCAGCCGCGCGGTGGGTTCTTTGAGGCGCGCCCGCCCATCAACCTCGCCGTGTGTACCATCGAAAAAGCCAACACCCTTGTCAACCGCCTCGTCTCCTCGGGCAAGCTGGCAAGCATGGTCTCGCTCATTGTTGTTGACGAGGTCCACATGTGTGCCGAAAAGATGCGCGGCTACATCCTCGAGCTCATGCTCTCCAAGGTCATGTACCTCAAGTCACGGCTGCCGGCCGTCCCGCAGATCGTCTGCATGTCTGCCACTCTTCCCAACCTCAAGACTCTCTGTACCTGGCTCGACGCCGCTCTCTACACCACCGCCTATCGCCCGATTCCACTCCTGCAGTACGTTCTTCTCGGTCCGCGGCTCTCGCTGCTCGAGACCAGCGCCTCCACTGCCGCCGCCGTCCCGCAAAGTGAGGTTCTTGTCCAGGGTATAGTCCCGGGTGGCTCGCACGAGGCCCGCCTGCTCTCACTTGTCCTCGACGTCGTTGCCATGTCCAAGTCGGTGCTCATCTTCTGCGGCTCGCGGCGGATGTGTGCTACACGCGCCAAACGACTGGCGACTCTGCTCGCGGCCTCGCCGCGTTGCGCAGAGCTTCCGTCCTCGCCGAAGCTCGCCGCCGCCCGCCACGCAGTCCTTGACAAGCTGGCAAACCTCACTCAAGTCGTCCACCCGGTCCTTGCACGCACCATCCCGTTCGGCTTTGCCTTTCACCACGCTGGCCTCACCGTCCAGGAGCGATCGGTCATAGAGTCCGCGTTCCGCGACGGCGTCCTCCACACTCTCGCTGCCACCTCGACGCTCGCGGTCGGCGTCAACCTGCCCGCACGTCGGGTCATCCTCGACTCGCCGCGCCTCGGCTTTGGCTTTCTCGACGCCGCAAAGTACCTGCAGATGTGCGGCCGCGCCGGCCGTGCCGGCCAGGACACGCTTGGGGAGTCGATCATGTGCATCAATCCGCGCGTCGCCTCCGAGGTGGAGTGGTACAACAACGTGCTCAACGCCGCGTCCGGTCTCGCGCCGCTGGCCTCGTCGCTCGCTTCGGCAGAAATCGGCCTCACCCGCATCTTGCTCGAAGGCATCGCCGCCAGCGTCGTCACCTCGGTCGCAGACTCGCGCGCATTCTTGCATGCCACCCTCTACGCCCGGCTGGCGCAGGAGAGCGGTGTGGCACCCGCTTCACAACTCCCGGAAGAACTCGAGACCGCGCGCGCGGCTGCCATTTCATGGCTCGCTAGCCACGACTTTGTGGCTGTCGGCCGCGCAGGGGGCGCTGCGGGTGCCGAAGGCCTCGCCCCGACCCACAAGGGCGTGGCGTGCGTGGCGTCGGCGCTGACGCCCGACCAGGCGCTGGTTGTCTATGACGAGCTGCTCAAGGCCTCGCAGGGCATCAATCTGCAAACCATCCTGCACCCACTCTACCTCGCCACCCCCATCGACTTGCAGTTTTTCAAGGCCACCTCAGTCTCGTCGTCGCGCGGCAAGTGGGTTCAGTTTGCTGAAGCCCTTCACAACATGGGCAGTGTGACCGAGGAGGTTATGACGGCCATCGGGCTGTCGGCCAAGTACGTCATCGACAAATCTCACGGTGCGCCCTTCTCCAAGGCCCAGCGCGAGGCGCTCCAGCTATACAATAGGTTCTACGGTGCGCTTGTTCTTTTGACCTTGTCGAGGAAGTGCCGCTCGTCGAGATCGAGCGCAAGTACTGCATCGACCGCGGCGAGATCCAGTCGCTGCAGGCCATGGCTGCCTCGTACGTCGGCATGATGGAGGTCTTCTGCAACCGCCTCTCGTGGGACATGATGGAGGCCATGTGCAAGACGCTCAAGCCGCGCCTCGAGTTTGGCGTCCGCGCCAAGCACAAGTTTCTCATGGCCCTCCCGTCCATGACCCTCACTGCCGCCCGCATCCTCTACGACGCCGGCATCACACGGACCATCGACGTCGCCACCGCATCTGTCGACGACCTCGTCTCCATCGTCGCCTCCAACACCTCGTTTAAGGACAACACCTCCGATCGCCATCGCTTCATCGCAACGCTCCGCGACCGCATGGCCGCCGTCCGTGACGAAGCCTACGAGGAGCTCTGCGAAATGGCGAAGCAGACCGGCGCAGAACCACCATCTCGCGAGGCCCTCGCCGCCCTCCCCAACCAGGCCCTCGACTTTCGCTCCGCCGCCGCTCGCCCCAGCTCGCTCCATCACTCGTAGCCACACTCTCCGCCGAGCGAGCGCCGAGGCCAGCAAAAGCACCCACTCTCTCATCTCTCTCTCCCCTCTGCCCCTCCGTATGTCCGCCTCGGCCTCGGGAGCAGCCTCGGAAGCCGACCCGCTCGAGCTCGAGTCGGTGCTGGCGTACGAGTGGAAGGCGCTGCGGCCGCTGCTCGAGTCGCAGCCGGACGCGGCTGCCGTGGTGGGCCCGGACCGGCCGCCGACGGTGGTACCTGCGCGGACCGAGACCTTCCGCGCCCTCAACTTTCACCCGCCGGCTGACTGGAAGGTGGTGGCGTTTGGGCAGAACCCGTATCCGCGGCCGGCATCGGCCGGTGGCATCGCCTTTCTCGACGAGGCCGTCACCTCGTGGGCCCAGAAGGGCCTCTCGCCCTCGCTCCGCAACATGCTCAAGAACATCCTTGTCTCCGAAGGTAAGCTCGCTACGGACGCCCGCATCGCAGACCTGCGCGCCTGCCTCCCCGAGCTCAACCTCCTCCCGCCGCGCCAGTGGTTCACACACACCATCGTCCACGGCGTCTGCTGGCTCAATACCTCGCTGACGTTCGACGCCGCCGCTGGCACCTCGCACGACGCCTTCTGGCGCCCCATCATATCCGCCATCGTCTCCACCATCCTCACCGCCAAACAGGACCGGTTCAACGCCGCACTCCGCGAAGGCAACGCCGAATCGCCAGGAAACATCGGTGTGGTCTTTGTCCTCTGGGGCGCCCGCGCCCAGAAGCGCCTCAAGCCGCTCATCAACTCGCTCGCCGCCCCGCTCTCCATCCCGGTCCGCTTTGTCGAGGCCCACGTCCCGTCCGTTGAGACCTTTCACAACGTCGCCTCCTTTGCCGCTATCAACGACGCCCTCGCCGAGCTCGGAACCGAGCCCATCGACTGGCTCCCCACCGCAACAGACCGCCTCGTCTTCCGCATCCCCTCCATCTCAGACTCGGAGCGCTCGCTCCCGTCCCGCCTCCGCTCCGACATCAAGCTCGGAAGCGATGTCTCGTTTGTTCAGCAAGCCTCTTCCCGCGACGGCGATGGCGGCGGCGACGATGACGACGGCGACGGCGATACGGTGCTCATTGACGAGCACGCCACCCTTCCTCTTCCCACACCCCCGCAGGCTTCCTCCGCCTCGCACGCACCACCCGGCCCGTCGTCTCCGCCCGCTCCCGCTGCTCCCACTTCAGGCTTTCTCGCCAGCCTGGACAAGCTCAAGTTCAACAAGTCGCCGGCCAAGCGCGAGCGCAGAATCGGACGCTCCAGTCCTCCCGCCGAGCCGCCGGCTAAGCGCAGGGTCGTCCCGACCGACAAACCGGCATCGCCGCTCTCGCTCATCGCACTCGAGACCGACCCAACCCACCTTGTGCTCGGAAAGCCGCTCGGCTCGGGCGGATTTGGTGTGGTACGGCAAGCTCGGTGGAAGGGACACGCGGTGGCAGTTAAGACCCTACACGAGGGAGGCGGCGAGAGCAAAGACGCGTTTCTGGCAGAGGTCTCGCTCCTCCTCAAGGTCCGCCACGAACACATTGTGCGGATCCTCGCAGTGTGTACCAAGGGGCCCCGTCCGTGCATGGTGCTCGAGCTCCTGCCGCGAAACCTGTCTGCAGTGGTCCGCGAGGCTGCGGCGTCGCCGGCTGGCTTCCTTCCGCTCCCACGGGCGCTTGTCCTCCTCCGCGACGTCGCCGACGCGCTCCGCTTCCTCCACTCGAGGACGCCGCCGGTCCTCCACCGCGACCTCAAGCCGGCCAATGTGCTGGTGACCGAGTCGTTCCGGGCTAAAGTCTGTGACTTTGGCATCTCGCGCGAGAAGATGGCGACCTGCGCGCCCGGTACCATGTCCAAAGGCATCGGCACGCCGGTGTACATGGCACCCGAGATGCTCGAGTCCAAGCCGTACTCGACCAAGCTCGATGTCTACGCCTTTGCCATGGTCATGTACAACGTGCTTACTTGCAAACCGCCCTTTGCGGGCATGGGCCACGACGGCGGCAATCTCGACCCCGTCCAGGCCATCGTCAAGGTCATCACCTTTAACGCCCGCCCGCGCTGCGATGCCGAGCTCTTTCCGCCGCATCTGCCGCCGGGCGTTCTTACGTCCATGTGTCGGGCTTGGGACCGCGATCCTGACGCCCGCCCCGACTTTGACGAGCTCGTCCCGCTCTTTGACGAGTGGGTCGTTGCTTCCGCAGCTGCCAGCGTGTGAACAAACAAAGGGGCAGCTTTATGTCGATGCCGATGATGACGACGACATCACACCATTGCTATGTGCAGCAGACGACACGCCGGCCGACGAGTACCTGTACCGGCTGCCGTCCGAGACGTCAGCCGAGCAAGACTCAAAGGCGTCGATCATGGGGATGAAGGCCGGGGCTGGCGAGTTGTGAGATGTCAGCTCCGAGCCGTCCAGCTGGGAAGTGTAGTCGGAGCCTCCGCACCCGTCGCCACTTGCGTTTGTGGCGGCCGAGAGCGACGAGGTAGAAGAGAAAATGAGATCGGGCGAGGAGCACGGATCGCGCTCGTTGTACTCGCACGCGTGCTCGTTGAGGACTGCAAGGCGAGTCGACGGGCCCATGATCGACGGCAGCCGGTGGAGCTTCCGCTTCCGCGACGCCTTGACCTTGTCGGCCGTCATCACGGCGAGCTCGGCGGTGGAGGGGGCCGAGACGGGGCGGGCCGTTAGCGGACCCTTGAGCGCAACCGAAGCCGGGAGTGACCGGTTCGAGATCTGATCGGGGCGTTCCATGTCTGCATTGGCCTTGGCCACAAGCGCCGCCATGGCTTCCGGCGACTCTTTGGCGAGGCGGCGGAGGATGTGCCAGTCGTAGGGGAAAAAGTACGAGGTGACGAACTTGACAACCACATCCGGGATGAGGCAGGTGACGACGACGAGGATGAGCGTGAGCCATGTGATGGGCGTGGAGAAGAGCTTGAGGCCGACGCCATACATGCGCGAGTTGAGGGTCGGGACAAACGGCCCTGTGTAGAGAAGGACAAAAAGGATGTAGCAGATGATGGAGCCGATGATGGAGAGAAAGTGGAAGACGTTCCAGTGCTTCGAATAGAGGCCGGCCTTGAGGAGGGTGACCACGACGCCGGCGGTCGACATCATGGTGGCCTGGACCCAGAGGTCGGCGGTGGTCCCATCCGCATAGATCTGGCCCATCGAGCACGAGCCGATGGCGACCACCCAAAAGGTGACGGTGGCATGGTAGAAGGCGGCGGCGAGCCAGGCGCCAAAAGAACGGAGGTTGAACACGTTTTGGTCCTTGAGCGTCTGGTACGTCGACGGCAGCGCCTCGACCACTTCTTCGCTCAGATCCTTTTCAAAGACGCCGATAAAGAGCGGAATCGACGCTGCCCACACAATGTTGAACGACGAGAGCAGGATCTCATCGTAGACCGGCTGGCCGGAAAAGGCTGAGAAGAAGCCAAAGTAAAACTGCGGAAAGATGTACGCAATGTTCTTGTAGAACGAGTACTGGATGAGGCCGGCGAGCCGAATGTACGAGTAGCGGCCGTGGACGACAAGGAGGCGCCGGAGGAAGCGGAACTCGGAAAAGGCAAAGTCCGAGGCGCGGACAGCCTGGGTGCCCTCGAGTCCACGAATGCCGATGCCGACGTCAGCCTCCTGGATCATCGACACGTCGTTGGCGCCGTCACCGATGGCGAGGCAGACCCGCGACGTCCGCTCCTTGACCAGCCGCAGGACGTCGGCCTTTTGCTTGGGCGTCACCCGGCAGCAAATGACCGACGAGCATCGCTCGCCGAGCATCCAGAACTTGGTCGAGAGGCCGTCGAGGCAGTACGCAAGGGTAGCGCCGTCGACAACGAGGCCCGGATTCGACTGTGTCTCGGCTGTCGAGAGCCGGGCGAGATGAAAGTCGATGAGCTCGCCGGTCGCGTTAGACGACGACGCGTTGAGCCGGATCATGCCGGCTTTGACGGAGAGGAGCGACGACGAAAAGCCAATGTTCTCGGCCGTCTCTTGTTTGTCTCCGGTGAGGAGCCAGATCTTGAGCCCGGCCTGGAGCAGAAACTTGATGGTCTGCGGCACTTCTTTTTGGAGCTTGTCCTCAACCGCCGACGAGCCGACAATGCGGATGTCCTGCTCGATGTCTTCGCAGACGCGGGCGACGGCGGCCTCGCGGTCGACGAGCTGCGTCTCAGCGCGGTCAAACACAGCCTTCCAATCGATAAACTCGACTTGCGAGAGTGGGACGTAGCCGATGACCAGAGTGCGGAGGCCTTCGCGGGCGGCAAAGTGAATGTGGGCGTTGGTCACTTCGTGGAGCGGGTCGTTGGCCCGCTGGCGCGCGAAAATGATCGAGTCTGCGCCCTTGGTGAGGAGGTTGATGGCGCCCGAGGGGTAGCGAACAACGACAGACATGCGCTTGCGAATCGAGGTGAACTCGAGCGTAGCCAGGACGGTGTACTCTTCGATCTCGCCGAGCACGTCAAGCTCGACCTTGTCGCCCTGGCGTGAGAGGAGCGTGACGCCGTTGGCGGCAGCAGCGTCGACGAGCGCGCCCTCGTCGGGTGACTGCGCCTCGTACACCCGCTCACCAGTGGCATCGTCGATTTCGGGCACCACCGTGTTGCACAGCGCAACAATGCGGAGGAACGACTTGATGGCATCAACCTGCGCCGGAGGTGTGCTCGGATCCTCGAGGGCTTTTCTGAGGGCGGTGAACCGGGCGGCGTCGGCGTCGGAGCCGCCGCGGCTCCCGCTCCTGCTTCCGCGCCCGTCGGCGCTCTTGGCGCTCTTGGCGCTCGACGCCCGAGTCAGCCGCGGTGAGGCATCGACCTGCGCCGCAGGGCGGAGGTCGTACAGCTCGCCGCCGATGGAAAACTGGGCGAGCTTCATGATATTCTCGGTGAGCGTCCCGGTCTTGTCGGAAAACACGTGGCCGATCTCGCCGAGCTCCTCGTTCATGTTCGAGTTGCGAGCAACCATCCCTGTGCCGGGCAAGTCGGTTGGGTCTGAGGCCATCGCCAGGTCCCAGTCCATGAGCTTGGCCTGGGCAACGCGGACAAGCTCGACAGTGACAAAGAGCGAGATAGGGATGAGGTAGGTGAAGAGGATAAAGTAGGTGAGTAGGTGGATGCCGGCGATGGGCGCGCCGTCCTGCGCAGAAATCTCCTCAAAGTACCAGGCCTGGCGAGTAATGGTCTCCTGCGCCACGCCGGCCATGATGGCACACGCGAGAAGAAGTGCCATGTTAAAGGTAAAGATGGCGAGGACGACCGAATTGAGCCGGCGCTCGAGGTGCGAGAACTTGGAGGCCGAGAGGCGGAGGTTCTTGAACAGCTTGGTGTCCGAGCCGGCGTACACAACCATGCCAAAGGCGTGCTTGGTGTTGCGGAGCCGGGCGCCGCGGAGGAGCAGGTGCCGGTGCGTGAGCGGGATCGGGTCCTCGTTGGGCATCAGAAGCTTGCCGTTGAACTTGTACAGCGCCTCGGACGGCTCCTCGCAAACGAGCTCACCGGCGAGGCTGCGGACGTCCTCGACCGAGGCCAGCGAGGCCAGCGCGAGTGGAGTTTGGCGGCGCTTGAGGTTGGTCTCGCCATCAAGATTCGAGGTCTCGACATAGCACGTTCCGCCGTCGCCCGACGAGGCGAGCAGAACGAGGTCGGCTGGGAACTCCTGGCCCTTGGAAACGCGCACAATGTCGCCCACAACCAGATCGGCCGACGGCCGCGGGACGAGCTCGCCGTCGCGCGAGAGAACCTCGTACTCGCGCGAGTTGGCAACTTTGTCCGCCTTGTGGCGCTGGTAGTCTTCCATGGCGTCCTTGATGGCCGCAACGGTGAGGACAAAGACAAGCGGCGTGACCGAGGTCACCGGCGAGATGGGCGACACATCTGGGATGAGTGAGAAGGCGGCGTTGAGGAGAAAGTAAAAGTTGGCAAAGCGCCGGAACTGCTCAAAGAGGTTGATGGGCAGGAACGTGAGCACCGTGTACTTGGCCGTCCGGATGTAGTTGGACGGGAAGCCGCGGACAGCGTTGGCGCTCTCGTCGTTGACCGCCACCATGTACGGCTCCGGCTCGGCCGCCGGCGCCGCAGACCCTCCGTCCGCCGCACCGCCCAAAGCAGGCGGCGTGCCGGCGGCCGAGGCTGCGAGTG